CTCATAACTGTTTGAAGGCTGGCCAAGATTTCTATCAAGAGCAACATATTCTCTTCTCGGTTCAGGATGTAGGTGGTCACCACCTGAAACAAATGTCAACGAGGCCTGTTAGCATACATTGGGACAACATGTGTTTTTGAAATTATATTGATTTATTTGAATTATAATTAAGAATGACCAACAATGAAAAAGACTGCATATCCAGGATATATGTTGTTTATTAAATATAGCATTGTAAAATAATGTCAATTTCAAACAAACAATGGATTAACATTTTATTGTTACTCATGGGGTGATGTGTGTATATGCTTGTTGTAAGAGGCCTGGTCAGGCTCCGTGACTTGGTGGACGTGGTGTCACTGTAAGCCAACTGGGTTGGTCGACGCCAATGATGTGAATCATTGGATTGTTTGCTCCAGGCTCAACTATGTATATACATCATATAGCTGGAATATTGCTATGTGCGGCGTTAAATTGCCAACATATGTATACAAGCAAATCATATTATTACGAATAATATAATTAAGAAACAACGAATCATCATTAATAAACTGGTGGGTATGAAAATAGAAAGTCACACTTTGATATATCATTGATCCAAATAGCAAACGCCATATCAATAATGCACACGTATCACTTTTGACCTCCATGATTGCCTGCAGAACTGTTACATAATATATGTCTGGCTGCATACAATTTGTTTTATGTTTCTCAGGCACATTGTTAAGAGAAAAAGGAATGCGAGAGGAATTATTTCAAAACAAAATTCGTAACAAGGACTATAAATTAAAACATGCCATCTCGACTTTGGTTGAAAATGTAAAACCTCGAGGGAGAGAGAAACGCCCAAGAGCCAAAGGCTTTTCTCGAACTCGAGGTTTTACATTTTCAACAAAATTCGAGGCAGAGGTGCCATAACCTGTCTGAATGCACTAAATACCAGAAAGAATAAGAAATAATCGTGACACTGAAACAATAGTGTAGTTGCTGTATAAAACGAATTCCATGACAGTGGGCGAGACTTTTTTATTGGCAATAAAATGTATGACTTTCAAGTGATGCACCAATGCCTAATAGAACAATCTTTGTTAAGCTTACATCTCAAAGGTAACACCCAGGTTGATATCACATATGTATTAGTAGAATATGAAACGGTGTATGTCAAATTGTTTCAACATTATAGGAACACTGACAGTATTGTCACTTGAATTTTGTCTATATGTTAGATGTACAGATCAATATACATATGTTCATATAATTATGTGAATCATTAAATCTATTTTCAAACTGTAACAATTGCATTATAACCATTATTCGGCAGATATATTATTAGCATGATAAGCCTACTTGCAAACTAGTGTCATGCAAAGGCGTCAACCCACCCATCTCACCTGTCTCTGTGGATGTCCCTGTTGTGGACAGTCTGTCACCTACAGTAGTAGGGATGTACACAGGGTTAATACGCAGTTCGGATCCTTGTTGATAATTACCAGCAGATCCTCCCAAGCCGACTACAGCATTGTCCTCAGCTTGTTGCACAGTGTCATCAGAAGGAGGATATCTGTCTGCCTCCCTCCGTTTTCCTTCCACGGTTACATCCACGTTATCATATGTATGTGTGTCTGGTGATCCCGTCACCTGCTTTAACCAAAGACAAAATAAAACCAAAAATTAGCCCATGCCCCATGCAGCTTAGATTATCAACATTGGTATAATGTATTATATATACATGATCGATTATACGTTGTGTATGTTTTTTTCTATGCATGTTCATCCTTTCAGTTCGATGCATATGACTCTCTCTTTCTGTACATGTTTTTGACAAAGTGTATCGTTTCCTAAAAACAAGGACATGATTCAGCTCCATACAACATTCAAAGTGTGGTTTAAAGAATAGCTTGGTTGATGATCAGGGAAATAGCACACGAATGCATGAAGCATATTACAAACGAGAATTGGTTATTCGATTGATACTATGTTGCAGGAATAAAACCATCTAGCATGTTATTTTCAACAGATGTTCCCAAATGATTGTAAACCCGTAGGCTGACGTGAACACAAGGTTTAACCATGCATGTGCATAAGAACAACAACATAACTGAACAAAGCAAAGGTGATTATTCATTTAGCGATATACTATATGCATACGAAAATATTATAAATCCATATTGCACTCGAGGGGTGGGATGACAAGAAATACTGTCACCCCTGTTATCTTCCTAAGCGAACACATATGGGTATACACCGCCTCATTGAATTAAACTTTATACTTGGCAAGGAAGCACCCAATCCCCCCCAGTAGAAATACACATTCACCCAGCTGCCACTCCCAACCCCAGCATTAGAACTTCTGTTCTAATACAACATATTTGTATGATTCTATTATTTAAGTCTTTATAATATCTGACTGATTTAAAGATATATAATTATTTCAACGTATTAAAAACATAATATAACAACATTCAAATGTTGATTTCTTCACAACCGTCAAGTAACATTGCATTCCATGTGTGAAAATAACTTTACATATCATCAGTCAGGATTTAAAACTTAATATTCCTGATAAATGATCACTTACAATGTTGACCGATCAACTATATTCATTGCAAATTCATTTTACCTTTAATCCGCTATATGATGTAATAATTGGTCATATTATATGCAATATGTGCATTTGCCTGAAAAAAATGAAATATAATCTTAAAAAAGGTGAGGTGAGGTGAAATGTGGTTGAACCGAACAGTCCTTGATTTATTCCCATAATGCTGAGCGCAAGGCAGGGTAACTGCATGTTCCACCTTTTATAGATCGAACTACCGCCCTTCCGGTTTCCGAGCAGACGCTATATCCACTAGACCACGGAGATGGTGTAATCTTCTAAACGTATATTTACCTTCTAATGTATCCATTAAAGTTTAAAGAAAAGTGCGATATAAAAAATTGAATGAAAAATAAATGAAAGAAGTAAAGTGCAGTGTCGCTTGTCTTCTTTCATTCACTATTTGTTTTTGTACGATAAGTTTAACACCACACTCAGGAACATTCCAGCAACAAGACAACCGCCTACTTGTTATCGGACCCATGACGATAAGGGTTAAAATAGGTCTTTAGCAATCTATGCTTGCCGTAAAAGGCGACAATGCTTGTAGTAAGAAGCGAATAACGGGATCGGGTGGTCAGGCTCCCTGACGTGATTGATGCATGTCATAGTATCACAATTGCGTAGATCGATGCTCATGGTATCAATCACTGGATTGTCTGGGCAGGCTGGCTTTTTTACAGACCACCGTCATATAGCTGGAATATTACTAATTGTGCCATTAAACAACAAACAAACACAACTTAGAAGTTCAGTGATCGACATAAGATTTGACAATCCACACCTTTGAGGTTAATAATCAACTAATAGTCAACGAGCATGGCCACTGGATTCGAAAAGTAGCCTCCTTCCTCCAATATAGGTTGCTTGGAACCAACTTTAAAGCTGAATTCCAAAGGGGTTTCAGTTTGCAAAAATAACTCAACTATTTAAAAATTTACACACATGTACGTCTGTACACAACAGAAAAAAATAATTACATGGCAACACCAAGTTAGCCGGAAGCTATGAGAAGGATATAACATGTTATCGTACCTGGAGGAACTGCAGCTCCATAGCTAAGGGAACCTGCATGCTATCAGGCTCTTTTCAACCAACCTCCATAACTGGAACCTAAACTTGCACATACCGATTCTTTAAACCCGACAACATTTACACTTTCGACCAACAACTGACGTTGAAGAATGTAAATATTATCCCCAATAAAATTCCAGGTGTGTTCTGCCTACACTGATATTCCTTTTTTATTAGTTACCCTAAGAACAAACGAATTTAGATATGATCCTAATTTAAATATTTAAAATATCAAAGAACCTGCAGTCGATAACCAAAACAAGTAGAATGCGCATTTCAGAGATAAGGTATGTCAAAGGCAGGGAAACATTAATCATCACGAACAGAGAAAGCATTGGATTACAGACTATATATACACTGACGTCCACAATAAACTATACCATTACTTCGATTAACCGTTGACAAAAATCCTAAACATGCTGCACGTTCAAAAGATATAAACATATTAATTACAGTGCTGCTTTTTCGTGTTGCAAAAAAAAGCCACAAGAAAAAAACGCCGAACCACTTCAAGTGACAGTGACCCAAGACACGGGTAGGGCAAATGTGACGAGCCACAATGTCCACCGACAGTATGTATGCAAAGGCAGTAAACTTTGGATTTAAATAAAATATATACTAACGTTTATGTACACATTGTGCATCATGGATCAGTGCACGACACAATGCGGCGTCGCGGGTCTCTGTTCCCATTCACAAAGAAGAGATCACTCCAAGTCAGGACGCTAGACTGGTCTTAAGATGTGCCTGTCACTATGATCCCTGCAAACCTGCCCTCATCAGAAAAAAGCATCGTCCCCAGTCCCAAAACTGCCAACGTCAGTGTTGGGGAAGACACTGTCAACTAAAACGATGTCCGAGACTCGTCGATGCAGATGTCGGCGGGGAATGAAACTGTTTCCGAGATGTACAACACGATAGTGACGGCGTTGAGTGGGCTTGTTAACATGCGCTCTTCCACTCATATGCGTGTCTGCTCTCTTCTCTCCGTTGGTAAACAGTGCTGTGGACGTTTCATCAACCTGCTTACGGAAGCATTGGTACACCCGGAAGTCCTTGCAATCTTGTCATGCATAGTCTGAAGCTTGGCCATACCAAGGCCTCTCTCTCTGTGCTGCTGACAAACGAGGCATTATTTTCTATTCTCTTTTGGTTACTGCGATCCTAACGAATGGTATCATCTGATTTGTATACCAGTTTACATACGTCATTACGGCACAATGCTCGTCCTGTTTGTTGCTAAATAACACTTTAAGTCTTCAGATACATGTTGTTGTAGTTGGGCGAAATATTTAAGCAGCAGTAATTTCCATTCTCCCAAATATAAAGGAATATGAGATAACGTTTCTTGGTATAGTTTCTTTTGAACGTCTGTTTGTATAAAGAGGCTGAAAAAGTGATCATATTGCAGACAAGGGGTGGACATTTCCCTAAAGCACACGATCAGCTATGTATATATACAAGCTATATCATGTGAACACACACAAGGAAATTTACCAAACTGCGTCTATATGCAATTCCATGTCCTATCTCTCTAAGGATTCTGCAAAGAAAAAACATCTTTTTGCAGCACAGGTGAGGCAGTGATACGGAAGCAGTGGTACTTTGGTTAATAATGTGTGTTTGACATCCAGACCCAGTTTTCCGATTCTTTCGTCTCCTTCTGGAATTAAATTGTTTACGGTAGTAAGTGCTTAGTAAAGCAATATATTTTGAGTATTTCCTATTTTACGCCACATTCAGTAATATTACAGCAAAACCACCGGGTTAAAATAATCTAGAATTGGCCAAGCCAACCCCATACAGAAGGAATGGACGTTGTCCCACATCATCGAGGTACATAATAAGACAAGCCCAAGAAGCTGACCACAGACCTATTTAGTCGACTCTATTGACAAGCTGTAGATTGCTGCGACGATATTCTACCGAGACTACACAAGGAGAGCTATGATATGAATATGTGGAAATAATAATGTCTCTCTTTAGGGCCAATTTTGAAACACATAATTTGTTCCAGAAAATAGAATGAAAAAAACAACAACTTATTTTTGTTGTAAAACGAATTTGAATGGGTTGGTTCCTCCTTGCACAACCTCAGTGGTGCAGTGGATGGAGCGTCAGCCCGGAGAGCGGAAGGTCATGGATCACGGGTGGCGTCATACCCAAAGGTGAGGTGAGGTGAAGTGGGGTTTAACGTCGCGTCCAAGATTATTGCACTTACATAACAACGTGCATGTATGTGTCTGTGTGTGTGTGTGTTTGTGTGTGTTTGTGTGTGTTTGTGTTTGCTGCTAGTGCTAGTGCCGACTGATGCCGATTTATAGTACTAGCACACTGAGTTACCATGCCGCAGTTTACCCAACTAAAACACAGCATACAGACTCCGAGCCGACAAATCCTTGTTTCAGTCCCATAATGCCTTACCAAAATACGTCAAATATGGTACTTGTTGTTATGCTACCTCGAGCGCGGCATTTGGGGCCTAAAACAAGCACTGGTCGGCTCGGGGTCAGTATATTGTATGTGGTTTGGGTTTTCATGTCAAACTGCGGCTTGGTATCTCAGTGGGCTTGCATTATTAACTCGGCATTTATCTTGGCATTCGTCCGGACTAGTGCAAACAGCCACGCACACAGACACACACACACGGGAGACGTTAAACCTCATTTAACCTCACCAACCACACGTACCCTGTGTGTAAAGCAGATCCAAGGCCACCTAGGTCCGGAACAAGTAATGCAGGTTCGGGGTACGGAGGTAAACAATTAACGAGCCTGGCCAACCTACATAGCTTGATGGGGATAAATTCTAAACTGGAATCCCAACGGGTGTTTCTTTGTTTGTTAAGGAAACGTAATTCCATTTTTTTAATTATAATGATAAGTTTAGCAAAATCACTCCGAGTGATACTGCTTCAATGAATGTATGTTACCGACATGTATTAACATACTGATTCGAAAAGGAGTTTCTTGCTTCGAAGCGGGGTATAAGGGATTTATTCAGCCTCTCAGAAATATATTTCCATCCAAGTCGGGAAACACGGTATTTTATCAAACGGAGGTATGACAAATGTATTTGTAGCCTGTCAACACAGGACATGTTGGTTGGTTGGTTTGTTGTTTTACGCCGCACTCAGCAATAGTCTAGCTATATGACGGCGGTCTGTAAATAATCGAGTGTTTACGGACAATCCAGTGATTAATATCATGACCATAAATCCACGCAATTGGGATCGATGACATGCATCAACCAAGTCAGCGAGCCTGACCACCCGATCCCGTTAGTCGCCTTTTACGACAAGCATAGTCACCTTTTACGGCAAGCATGGATTGCTGAAGACCTATTCTACCCCGGATCTTCACGGGTCACACAGGACATGAATATCCATATACGTACACTGTACACAACAGGAGCAATACGATTCATTAATGTAGCACAGTCATATTAGCCAGAATATATGACAAGGATATGATGTGTCATTTTACCAAGAGGGAAATGTTGATCCTCTGATAACAGTATGTTATGGTTATCTTATCAGGGATGTCCAATATTAGTCCTCAATATTGACATACAATGATGTATTGCTTGCTGGGCATGTTTGATAAAATGAATGAAATGTGTTGTTAAGGGATATTTAAGTGTTCAGCTCCTCATTTTATGGAAAACATCCTATCTCTAACACCTCTCCTACCTACAATACATTATGGTGATTCCCGAGAGGTAAATTATTGATGTAATGGAAGCATAATTCTTTTTTCTTCTTTCATATTTGGATCGGTATTGCTAATTGTATGTTGAGCAATAATCTTACTAAGTTACATTCATGACAAGTATTTTAATGAGTGTGATGCTTACCGTTTTTGGGGAGTTGCTGAATAAATGTAATAAACATTTTTATCAATCTCCATCTAAGATAACATAGTGTTGGAAGAGTTTGAGAACTGATTGTATGTCTATCAACCTGCTTACTGGTACGTTGAAACATAGATGAAGTGACATGGTGGAGTGAATTAATCAGTGAATTTCCATTTACGCCAGTTTTAGCCATGAACTTCACAAGACAAATCAAACGCTTTAACCACTGTCCCGTTATTAATCAGGTAAGCCAGCAATTGCTTGCAGGGTACCAGCAGACATTGATTGTGGCTATGTCATCTCAGATATAGATCTCTTAAGTTAAACATCCAAACAAAATTAACATGATAATGGCATAGTATGCACAGATTAACTACTTATTTCAGAAAATAAATGACACAGGTTAACTTATATTACAAAGATCAAAATGAACAGACGTTTGTCATTAATAGCATATACCCAGGTCATCAATGCAACTTGTTCATGGCTAACTTGATCAGTAAGACATGATCTTATTTGAAGTTAAGTTGACAGACTTACGCATAGATTGATGCTTTGTTGACTTGCTTTAAGAAATCACAACGCATGTCTCGGCAACTTATGCCTGGCAAGGTGGTGGATTCGAATCCTAGATAATGCCTATCCCTACACTCTGGTAACTCTGCGTGTAAAATATTAGACGCAAATTGTTCCAGGACTGTGATTTGTTAACAAGAAAATGAATGATCTCTTGGGGTGGTTCCGCACATGTTAACGGAAAATCAGTTTAAATACAAACGAAACTTGAAACAAAAACTTCAGAAAACAGCAGAAAATATGATAAGGCTATTCATATATACACCAAATATATAACAACTTATCAGATTGCTGTGTCGTCATTATGCACTGCCATATCCTTCGTTTTGTTAATAGAGGCATAGAGCTCATTGATTTGACTTGTATTTTCCTCGGGAACAATGTGCTGTACGACTACATCTAGGTCATTCTTAGGATTGTCTGTGGATGTTTTTGCCATTGATAACTCGTGTGATCCATCCTTCGTTAGGGAACTTGATCTGGTGTCAGCATTGTTGACGAGGTCCCCTGTACATGCATAACCTCCTGCATCTATTACAGTTATGTTCTTTGATCCACTTGGATCATCATTCAGCTCCACGGTAGCATAAGCTGAACTTCCGGGTGTCCCTACAGTGATGTACGGAGGGGAAGAAGGCGTAAGTGATGCCTGTGGTTTTATTTGCTTTACCTGTTTTCTTTTGACGAGAAACACGATGATGACGACGACGATGATGAGAAACACTATCGCACCAACAACGCTGGCAGCAATAATTGGAGTTGAGGCTGTGGCTAGTCCATCATCTGTTTTGGTTTCTGCAATGTTATGAAGGCGTTTAAGTCATAGTTAGATACACTTCCTTACATAACAGAACACAAGTTGCATTTGTTAAAAACAGACACAAAGCCAAACTGCATGGGCATACTATCGGCTTGACCTAATGACCGTAACAGCATGTTCACATTGAGTGAGTAGTGAGTGAGTATGATTTTACGCCGCTTTTAGCAATATTCCAGCAATATCACGGCGGGGGACACCAGAAATGGGCTTCACACATTGTACCCATGTCGGGAATTGAACCCGGGTCTTCGGCGTGACGAGCGAACGCTTTAACCACTAGGCTACCCGACCGCCCCTGTTCACATGGAGAATGAAAATCCCACGAGTTGGCGACTGTTAGACGTCAGATTACAATTCCCTTAATCACTTTCTATACTACGAGAATATGCCTCTTGTACGGGGTATAAATCACCGCGACCCAGCCGCCGCCATATGCAGGAATTGGGGCACGCGTCCACCTTATGCAGGTTGCGCGTTTTGTTGGGATTGAACTGTCATTTCTATAATATACACGACGAATACATTGACAATATGCGAGTACTCGCACAACAGTAGTGTTTACCGGAACACCAAAGTAGACATTGACAATATACTGACATTAACAATGTACCCTTCGTGTTTTAATGATATGTCCCTGTCGTATAACCATTGATATTTTGACATGGATTGAACTCAAACTACCCCAGTGAAGATCCGGTTTCGAAATGCTCTTAAGCAACCCATGCGGGTTGTGAGTGGCCACTGATTAGGCTCGCTGACTAGGCTGGTGCATGCCATCTTTTTCAAGTTCTGTGGATCGATGTTGTCAATCACTGAACTGTTTGGTTCATATATGATTCTTTACAGACTGTCGCGATATAACTGGAATGCTGCTTGGTGCGGCGTTAAACAATAAGCAAACAAACAAACATAATCACATCCCATACGTAAAAGTTATTAACAAACACTGTGTTCTCTGGGGAGACACTGGGACACTGTCCACTGGACAATAGACCAGCAAGCAAATAAATACCACTAAATATGCATGCATACTTTATTCAGTATTTCAGGTAAGAACATTGGAACATAAGAACAGTTTACCACTTCAGACAAACTAGTTGGTACAGTGTGTATCGGTCCATGCGTTTTCGGACTTTAATCATTATTTCTGCGCAAATGAGATAGCTATTTACACTACATATATATGCAGGCGGTGTTAGTAGTAGCCACTCGAGAATAACATGGGGTGATGGTGGTACCCTCTTGATAATTACTAAAAACTCACTGTTATTGAGTTCCCCTACTCCCTCACAGGTGAGATTCCAGTGTTTGTGTTGACAGTAGAATACCAGCCTTACACCACCCAAGTGTGTTTCAGTCACATTGAAGGTTTTTGGTGAAAGATTATGATCAGCCCCGGTTCCAGCAACATTCAGTAATTGTGTGACATCTCAGGTCTGAATAGTGAAGTTGGAATCTACAGAACAGTAGGAGCCACGTATGTCGTAGAAGGCAGCAATGTCCACTGTTAGTGTCACTTCCTCATACAGGGTCAGCGTCTCAGTATCTTTGTCACTGGTTATCTTGCATGCCGGGGTCTTTGGAACTGTAAGGCGAAAGGGTTACATTTAGAAACGATTATCAAACAAACTACCACATCATTTGTGTGTGGAAAGATCGACGCCCTTTTGAGAAATGCATACGTTGGAATATACTGATTTATAACGTGAACAAAACACTCTATATGATGACTGCAACGATATTTGTGTAATTAAATATCTGTTCACGATAATCGTGGCGTTTAGTGGTTTGAAATTATATAGGACTATTGCCATGTCATGCTGAAAATTTGTCATCAAGTACATGGTGTTTAGACAAATGTTGCGGCGTTCATCGTTACATGCTCAAGACTTGTAACTAAGTATTATATGATAACATAAAACTCACTGAGTTCAGTCACACCATTGCAAGTAAGATTCCATTGACTGTTGTGACAGCTAAACATCAGTCTTACAACCCCCAGGTGGGAGTCCGTCACATTCAGGGTTACTGAAGAAGTGTTGTGAGTAACACTTGCTACAGAGTCAGCTTCCATCAGCAGTGTTGTCACATTCCCGGTCTGGAGTGAGAAGGTGAAGGCTGTGGAACAGTAGTAGTCTTGTATGTCCACTGTGAGTGTCAGCTCCTGACACTGGGCAAGTACATCAGTGTCCTCCTGACTGATGATGCTGCATGTTGGTTTCTCTGAATCATTGAATACAGCGGTAGAATGATAGCACAGTTTGAATAATGTAACAAATGTTATATTTGGGTTAACATTGGACCACGTTCTAAATTGCATTGTGTGTTCACAGTTTGAAAAGTAGAGATGAAAAGTGATTTTGTTTCATTGACATATACTGACAGAATATAAACTATCATTCCCATAGAAAATGACTGTTGACATGGAAATTATCAGAGGTTTGAGGTGGACATAGCTCTATGACCGCCTTGGTGTGTATATGGATTGTGGACTTACTTGTCGATTCCCAAATTGAAACAAAATGTTAACCAAGAAACCTGTACGTAAAAGATCTTAGTGTGAAACCAGCCTGGCATACAATAATCAAACGTATTACAACATTCACCAAGTTTACAAAACAATACAAATTAATGCACAGCAATCACAACGGCAGTAAATAGTACAATATTCAATGGCAATATACAATATCATTCTATCACCGTCCACGGTAACCGGAGGTTAACACCCAACATTAGCATCTAAACCTACTAACTTCCTGACGACTGCTTAGATTAAATGGCACCACATTCCTGACGACTAATCGCTGCCCAAACACAATGCAATGAGCGTCTGCCGAATCTCAACAGAAACTACACAACACAGCCACAATCATTGTTCAACTAGTAAACACACCGCCATATAACAGTGTCATAGGAAAAACATCTCTAGACTCCGCAATGTTCCTGCTATATGACTGCTACATCGCCTCTTACGAAAAGCATAGGATGCTTGGGACATATACTCTATTGACATTAAAGTTTTAAACCAGAATGTTAATTCAGTTTATTTCAGAGTTTACCAAAGCGTTATGGAAATGCATCTAAAATCGATCCAGGGGTCCAAATTAGTCACAACAAAAACAAATAAACGCGTATGCGTTCGTGAAGAAGATGCAAATAGATGGGTAAAAGGGTCATATGCTATCTGATGTTTTTGTATTAGGAATGTATTAGAATGTAGACATGTCAAAAACATAATTTTCCAATTTCTCTAAACGGTTCGTCAAAAGTGATATCATGAGTGAGTATTGTTTAACGCCATTTTAAACAGTTATATCTCTGCGTGTCAGCTTGTGGAGGGAGGAAAAGGGAGGGCTCCTCGGCTTTGCCAATTTGGGTTAAATCAACATGCTGACAAACCAAGAAACATAATCACGACCAGAGGTTTCTGGTACGTCTGAGGCACGCACCTCTGCAGTGAATTTGTCGATTTGAAGGCGGGAGCGAGTTTGGTTTAACGCCGCTTTGAACAGTATGTCAGTTATTTCATAGCGTTTCAGTTTCAGAAGTGAAGTGATGCCGCTATGTTTAGCTGGGAATCGAACCCACGATCATAGTTTTCTGGTCTGCCTAGGGGACGCAACTCTGAATGACAAATTGCGCCATCTGAAATGACTGTGCCAACCGTATCCTGATTTGAAAAGACATAATAGAAATAGAACTTGGAAAATATTTTTTGTTTTTCATTCCAAAACACGTTGGTTTACTTTCAAAGAAACGATCTCACATTTGTTGTCATTTTCAGAAAATATGGAATCGATTGTTCCATTGGTGTTATAATCATTGGAGAATCACAAAAAGTAGACAACCATTCTTGTGTATGTATAGCTTAATTCACTTACTAGACGTGTGAACCATTAATGTGCGGTGACACTATCAATATGTCGCTTTGTCGTGTTTTGGCGTACTTTACCGCCTTCTTTTACAGATTTGAGCTGGGGCGAAAATGCGACAAAATCACATGTTTCGTCCCTGAAAATGTCGTGTCAGCATTATCGGCATTTTGTAAAAATATAAACATTGTTCAAAGCACGACAATTCGACAAAATAGTGTTGTCGCGCTGCCACATTTGGTGTAATTTTGGCACATTTTGCTATTAGTTTGTAAGATCGATAACGGGTCAATGCAACAAACGCGACATTGTCCCGCCTAGGATTCTATAGGTATCCAGGACAAATCTAGGCTTACTGACTCTTTTGATGACGACAATAAGGCACTGACTCATTTCGACTTCATACTTCACTCAGACAACATAACCTGTCATTCAAATGACGCATATAAGACCCAGGATTAAGGATGAAATAACCTCTTTAAATATTTCATTTAGTTTTGAACACCCATTGAAATACAATATGAATCATCAACATAATTATCATTGTAATTTATTCAGAAGGGCATAGCTATCTCAGGCTCTCCCTATAACATGAACAAGGATTTTTACCCAGAGCTAAGCATCAACTAAAATATATACAAACATTCATAAGCCATCAACAAAATGGATATCAGTTGTATTTGTACCTTTATGTTTTAACAGTTAGAGAGTTTACACGATCAGTATGTAGCAACTTTCACTTGTACTTACTTGCAGCAGTCAGATTACATGTACCAGGAGCTCCACGTCCAGGTTTACACGACCATGTCCCTACATCTTTTAACTGTACACTGGGTATGTTAAAGATAGTTTGAGTGTTGTTAATGACAGTCACTGGGGCGTCCGAAGGATCACACGGTCCACCAAACAGTGAACATTGTGCAACCTCAACACCTCTGGGGCTGATATACGAGTGTAAAATACCTCCCCCTGTACATATCAACTGTACAACTGTTTCCAGATAACTAAGGTTTGGGCAGATGAGTATGGTGGAGACTGTGGAGAAATAAGAATGTTGAATTAAAACGTTAAAACGTTGCGTGATCTAGAAAACAATTTAGAATATATATTATAAAAAATAAATACTTTTGTCAAAATGTTGTGTCAAATTGGTCAAAGTACACAGTTTGATTTCGATCGTTACCATTAGTTTTGACATTGCTGAAGAATAATAGCTTGATTAACAATAATAACATTGTTCATCTAATAAACCTCTTATAACTATTTAGAAAAATACATTATCCCCACTGATGTGTTGGACTGACCGCAGAGTGACTGTGCCAGTAGAAGTAGAGTCTGGGCCACGACTGTGTTAGCAGGTTTCATCATGAAAACTGTCAGAGTGAAACAATGTATTATTTACAACAATCACAAACATCACAAACGTGTCTAATATGTTTGCTTATAATGTAAAACATACACTCATACTCTGAACGATATTTTCCGATTTACTTCCTCATTCACTTCACTAACAAGTCCATTGGGATTCAGGCTCAGAAACAGGTCGCCAGCATCCTGTGCTTGTAGAAAGAGTCAATATAAACGAGGATTTTGCCCTTTGAATTGTTTGTCTATATATCTAAATCCTGTTAATCATTGTTCAACTTGTTTGCTACAAAATGGTTATTTACAGGCTTTTATTTCACACGGCGAGTTGAATCATTTCAGGTAGCAGCGTTAAACAACATTTACTTATTCACTCATACACACACCAGATAACGAGTACGAAATATATCCCTGGAGGGAATTTAGTTTTCTCCACTCTTTTACAGAACACGCTTACCAAATTGATGCTCTCCATAGAAAGTACACACTTTTGCAATGAGAAGTGTCACATCGTACTCTTCTTCCTCTCAACAAAGGACCCCTTCAGTGGCCAACCTTCCTCTCAACCTTGTCTTGCGATCTGATGTAACACACTTCCTTCATGAATATAAACTTGACTCTGTGACTGTGACTGATATGATGTCAAATCCATGTATCCTTGACAAGTTTATCGCTCTACATTGCGAGGTATGTGAATTGCAGTTAACCTGTGAAATGCTTCCTCGTTCATTTATGACTGTGTTGCGAGAAGCATGGACAATGGGTTATGCCTTGTCGGTATAGCGGAAGGGAGGTAACTCATCGGAAAATAGCCGCACGAAATTTGAAGGGGCTAATTGATAAAGTTAAATTAGGACCAATCGAAAATACTCATAACATGTCACATGCTTATTATTAGGATTTTACAAGGCAGGAGCTGGTGCTGTTTCCCGTTCAATGCCACTTAATACTAGAAAACACAGCTATCATTACCATGCGTTACACACCACTGTATGCACAAAAAATGTATCTGTCCTCACTGACAGGATTCCATAGATTTCACTTGGGTAATTATTCTTTGAAATATATTAATGTTGTTTTCATGTTACTTTCGAGCAGTGGAAAAGTACGTTTGCAATGTTGTGAAAGGGAAACACTTTGTTGATGTTTGAGCTTAAGTATTCAATGATAATAAATACACTATACAAGGAAGAAACTAAAATCTTACCTGCCATACCATAATAATTTTATACTTTGAAGTTTACACTGTTTTTTTCATGCTGATTGGCTGAATGGGTAGTCATCTGTGAATGGACAAAAAAGTTCACACGATGTAAACAACTTTTTGTGTGAAATTGATCGTGTGAACTTATTGTACACCTTCCTGTAACCTATTTTTAAGATTGGATTTATCCCAAATATTGTTTGTAAATTTGTTCAGAGAATGAAATTTTGTTGACATATTTCTAGATTATGTTGTATATATTCAAAGAACTATTTTTCCTTGCGTAACTGAGTATTAGTGGGGAAACGTATGTGAACGAGAGCCGGCAAATACCGACAAAATAACATTGTTGCATTGTTCTTCGGCGAAACCAGAGGACTTCAAATGTAAGCAAACGTTACGATATTATTCAGCGAAAACAGTAAACGACAAAGTATGAAATCATAACAATTGAATGTCAGTTTGGATTGGTTCATTGAAGTCTGAACGTTTATCCAACGCTTTTAAATCGTTCACACTTCAATGAACGCATCCAGACAATATTTCAACAAAGGTGTCAACAAAGTTGCAATCTGTGTGAACATAGTGTGCGAGTACATTTAAGGCTGATTTCATTGGCATATCTGCATAATCACATACTGTGTGCGTGCGCACATGCGTGCCTGTGCTTGTACTACCCAGGACAAGTGCCAATGTTATAACTGTGATTCCATGCTGGGATTAACATTGATTCCACACTTAAACCTAGTATACTAACTCGGAGCCGAATATTCCCTTAATGCCGAGTGCCAGGCACATAAATGTGCGTGCGTGTGGCTGCGTACACTAATCCAGACCAGCCCCAATTGTATAGGTCTTACCGAGATTCCATGCTGAGATTAAAAAGGATTCCTTACACAAACCTAGTATGCTGACTCCGAGCTGAACAGTCCTTGTTTTATCCCCCTAACGCCGAGCGCCAAGTTCAAGTATGTCAAAAAACTTGATTTTTTTTTCAAATTTATACATTACTATTCCATATCCACAGAGTATTTGTCACTGAAAGTGGCGATTTGTCAAAATGAAACTAAAAAAACGTGCATATGCAGTTCATTGAGAAAACACTATGTGAAATGTTGAAATTCCCATTGATAACATCTATATCTATGTTAATGTTCACCCACTCTTCCTGCAGTTCCTGTGACAACTGCAAGAGGCTCTGTGGTTGGTGCTCATGTGCTCGCAGTCCAGTGCATACAGTGCATCCCGTATATGTTCGATTGGGTTTACATTTGGAGACCTGGAGGGCCATGGCAGGGCAAGACTTCTGGAATATTGCTGTGTGATGTCGGGCGTTGTCGTGTTGGAAAATGGCGTTCGCTTCTTGCATAATTGGAAGGACGCGTATTGTCGTAGTTGTAGAAGTGGCCGTGGTCGTTCTTTCACGTAAGTAATGTAGCCGTGTGAATCGGCCCTTTGCTCAATTAGTGATACGTGGTCGACCGGACCTGACACGAATGACACGTTTTGCATGTAGTCGTCCGATAGCGTTGTTGTGTTGGACATCCGTCAGTCGTGCAATGTTTTCGCTGTTCACTTGATGTAAGATTGTTGCAGCACGTGAATGAAAGCCCAAAGTTTTTTTTTCTAGAAGTGATGATGCACGTGCATGTCAGGTGAATGTTTTTCAGCGCAAGGCTGTGGTTGTGTTTTATCGTTTATTTGATATTTTCATCACATTTCTGCAGTACCTCATTTCAATCCCAATCCAGAAATGACGAGTTTAATTTTCAATTCAATTTTGGTAAGGATATCAACAACAATCAGCATATATTTATGTTTAAACTACTTTTGTGTTTCTTTCTTTGCAGAATATATAAACATCTACTCTTTTACACATCATTTATTTTGGCACACCTTATTTTTTTTATAACCCTTCATAAAAGACAAAAGGCAAAAGATACAAATATTTATGTTTAAACTACTTTCGCGTTTCTTGTTGTGCAGAATATATATACATCTACTCTTTTACACATCATTTATTTTGGCACATCTCATTTTTTTATAACCCTTCATAAAAGACAAAAGGCAAAAGATAAAAATATGAAACAACACATCCTACCCTTCTTTTGTTGCAAGCACGTGCTAATTTTAGGTCAGTAATGTGCCCAACAAAACGTTTAGCATGCAAACGTTATTTGGTCCAGGTCAGTATGTACTGGCCTGGTCCTCGTATGGCTAGCAACTATAATCAACATGTTTCCCTATCTATCAGGAAATGAGTAAGCCCTGATAGGATTGTTATTTTGTCAATATTATTGAATTAACGACTTTCCTCTGATTTCACGTATATATGGTGGAATGTGTCTAGGTTAGAATGGCCACAGATAGTTTCCTCATTGGGGTTTACATACATGGTCATGTGGAAGGCTCGGAAATTGTATAACCGACACATTTATATCGTCGTTTAACCCCGCAATTTCAATTGTCCATTATGAGACAGTTTTGTCTTTTTCTTTGTCATTTTATATACAGTATGTGTTTAGCGGCCGAGCACTGTTTGTCCATATATGGTCTGCACCGACGACGCCCACGTAACCGCAATTATTTTACTTAACTACGATCTGTTTGCGATGACAAATATGAGAGACGTCATAGCTTATGTCTTGTATATACATTCTGTCATTATTGGGTTATATAGAAGACCAATTTCACTCAATATATAATATGCGTTCAATAAAGTGTGTAATTAGTAGAAATTGATGAAACTCTAAGGCGAGATCTTCATAGAATGAATGAAGTCAAATTATAAAATATAAACAGAAAGATTCAGTCAGTGAAACACTGGCAATAATAAAGCTAGCCATTTGACTTCAGGTATTGCAATATTTTATATTATTGTTACGCCAATGTCATATTGATAGATGAACCCCAAATACAAATTCTATGACATTATCCATTCGAACAGATCTTCAAAATTATATATTTAGATAACTTAACTGATCTCTTTTGTATGTATATTGTCTATGCAAGAGAATAACCAGTTTAGGTTATCCACCGAAAAAGATTCAACATTACAGTCCAAAATATAGAAACGAATGTCTAATTACTGTTGAACTATGCATAAGAATACAAACCGAAGGTGTATATGGTTTCCTGTTTGAGAGTATATTGTGAAAATTTAATTGTCCCTTGTTCTCAATTAATCGGAACAGTAATTATAATCTATAACATGAAAATGTTGTGTTTAGTCCGATTGTGTTTCTTTATTGACAACGTTGGTCACGTATCCCATACAAAGGTGAGAGATTATCCATATGATTTGACAAGTGCTGAATAAAGACGGCTGATTCTTGAAGGTTAAATGCACTTCACATGTTCGCAATTTGTTCATATATTGTCAAATGTTCATATATGTTTGAAAGTTGGGCAGCATTTCCATCAATAGCAACATATTATCCGCTCGTTTCAGGATGTAGGTAATCTCCACCTGAAATAAACGTGAAAAAACAACATTTTATCATAAATTGGAACAACTTATGACATATTTTTTAATTGTTTCATTAACTTAAACGCAATTAACAAACTGCATTCATAAAATGTATTCTATTTATGGCGGTACATAATTCTATCATGAGCAACACATTCTCCTCTCGTTTTTGTGTGCAAAGTACTACAAATTTCTAAAGGGCCTCCTATCAGATCACTGGGGCAAGGCGTATTTTTGAATATATATTGATTCTTCAAAATAAGAATTGAGAATGACCAACAATTGATATGACTTAACAAACTGCATATGAAATGTAAGTCTATATATACTGAACAACAACAAATCCTGTGACAGATAGTAACATTTAAAGCAAATTATGTGTTTTACCAAATCTGAAACAATTTCGGTTTGCAAAAGATAAAAGACTCCCGTAAGTGTTCAAATGGTTTACTTTGCCATACTGACTTCAGAAAATGCGTGATTTCATAAAAAAAACCATGCCAAAATGTTAATTTACAAATCAATAGCGTGAGTGTCCAACTCTGGTAGCGATTCAGGCAACACATCTTCGTCTCATGGATGGACCAACGTCGCACAAAGTCCTGTGGGATACCTGTCCACATCTGCTGGAACATGTTTCGAAGTTTCTGGAGTGTCTGGGGATCACGTGGTTGACGTCGAAGGCGCCGATCCATCTCATCCCACATGTGCTCGATTGGTGAGAGATCAGGGGAGCGAGCCTGCCAGGGAATGGCATTCACGTTGTTTTGCTGAAGAGAATCCTGAACAAGTCGAGCAATATGAAGCCGGACGTTGTCATGTTGAAAGGTAATGCCTGGGCCATGACGACGCAAAAACGGTAGAACAACAATTGCTTCTGACTTGTATAGTTAGGCTCGGGGAATACTTAACAAAAGCAATTGAAATAGTGCATGAAGAGGAAGCGTATAACATATAGATTTTATCAAATTGACAACATGTGAACAT